CAAAGCCATATACAAAATTATACAAGGTAGTCTCATGCAGTCATATGTTTCCAAATTTTCATAAATTTGCGTTTGACAGTATCATGATGCAATAATAAGGTGATGTATCAAAACAAAAACCTTTGTTTTTGTCTCGATTATCTGTCAATTTTTTTATGTAATATTTTAAATGGTTGGCAACACTGCACATCGAATTCACATAGAAATTACCCACTTTGACAGTTAATCAAGACATCAGCTGCGCTAAATGGACTACCTATTCATTGTGCCATGGACAGTATACAGCTTTTAAATGAAAATATCTTCCTTCGAAATGTACGAATATCATGTGTTCAGTGGCAAAAATTGCTAAATAATTTAAATTTATAAATTTTTTGAAGTTTCCTGCCTCGAAAACTTATAAATATGAGTTGTTTAGCTTTAGAAAATATATTTTGTTTAATTTATTCAAAATATGATAATCGACCTACGTAAAATTTTATGGAATTTATTTATTCAAATATTATTTCTCTTCCCGTGAACTTGATCATTTTCTGATAAGAACGCGATTGTCGCCGACGATGCTATACCAGAATTTAAGTGACTGTTTCTTTACTTAGGCGATATAAAATGCTTGCAGGGTAATTATGTCATTATACAAAATGTGTAACTGTGTGTGTAATGTTTTGAAAAATATAACAAAATACATTCGAAAATCGATTTGTTTGAAGATGAATTTTATAACATTTGTAAGAAGAAATGTACGATTTGTGAATGAAACAACGTGTAAAACATATCCCAAACTCGATTTTGAAAAGAAAACCTGGCATTCCATTAATTTCTCGCGTTTTTTGTTAAAATGTTACAAATATGCAAAATGAACATAACGACTTCTTGCATTTGTTTTCATTTATTCTGACATTATTGCCTTATACCTTGTATAATTATAGCATGATTACAACCATGGTATAATTATTACAAGGTAGGCCAGAGCTACCAACTGATTACAATTTTTTCTTAAGGTGGCTTGTTCCATCAAATAAAACTACATATTTTGCGTATGTGTGTACTATGTCAAATAAATTGAAATATATTCAAATTTAATGGAAATGAAAATTAGTTTCTAAAGCGTCCGTCTGGAAGTAATTATTTTGTTATGGATGAAACAACTATTTCATGGTATTCCCTACTGGATTTTGGATAGAAATCATAGCCTTTCATTCATTTTTCGCTTTTTGCGTATATTTATTTTATATTTGACAGAAGAAGCCACCACATACATAGTTGCTTTTTTGTTATTCAATTTAAGCTGCCCTACATTGTATTATTGTATTTAAGAGACCACTAAACAAAATGGCTTTCTCTTTGTAAAATTTTTATTTGAGAAATTTAGCCGATTAAAAATGGTAAAAAGGAATGCAAACTTCTGATTGGCTGTTATGTTGATATGGAAATATTGACATCTAATTTGATATATTTACTAGATTTGCGCTCCCGAACTTTTCAAATTATTTTGTACTCTGAGAGAGATTTTGAAATGTTTCCCTCTTCATTCGTTGTTCCCTCTCTCATTCGTTGTTCAACCCGTAATTATGAAGTAATTACTTAGTTCCATGGTATAATTATTACAAGGTAGGGCACAGCTAACATCTAATTCCAATATTTTCCTGAGGTGTCTTTAAGTGTCAAAACAGTTTTGAATATCAATTTGTTTATATTTGACAAGGTTGACAAATAAAGTCATTTAAAAAATAATTTTAAGAGCTATACGAAGAGCTGAACATAGAATTCAGAAAATGTATGTATGACATGAGTCGACAGAATACTCCATATAATTTAAAGCTTGAAGATTATTTCATGCAAATATTTTTTGAATAAAATTCTTTGAGGAGTATTTACGGCTAACAAATCACCCAGGTTTTTGGTATAAAAATAAAAAATGTAAATAAATGACCATTTTGTATGATATTATTTGATTTCATAGGAACCATATGGTATAAACTATCATCAACAAAACGAAATATTAAATAAAATTTCCGAAGCCGTTTCCAAACTCATTATCCCAGGGAAGAAGGGATTGTGTCCGTTTCAGAAAGGCATATTAATGTCAAATGTATATGCTGACAAATCGATTGAATCAAGACATATCGGAGCATTCTTTTGGAACTATAAGAAGTAAAGGGGGACAATACCCGACAAATATATATAATGTAATATGTAACATTAAAAATCTTATATTTATATTATATAAAGGCGAAATTATACATGTAATGTATTTATTGTAAATCAAATTAGAAATAAACAAATAAAATGTCAAACAAATGAAAATTTGTATTTTTTTGTGATTTAGAGGTTACTAGCCACCAGCTACGAAGTTGATTTTTTAATTCCATGAACCTGCCCTACATTGTATTTATTGTACCATGCTTAGTTCCCCATACAACATTTTCTGAGCGAACACCGACTTTTGTACAATGTTCAATTCGAATCACTCTCTGAATAACCAAGAATTTTGTCCCATCCCTAACAATTGAGAGTATTTATCGAAAATAAATTAATTTTGACAGTTTGAAAATATTTATGAAATTTTCAAACTTTTTCAGTAAAATTGAAAATCATGAATGAAAAGTAAAAAATTGTAGAGTTTTTATACATGCAGCAGGATGTATATTTTGTTTTCTACATAATGCAATATGCATTTCTTTTCCCTTGGTTCTAATTAGCGTACAAAACAAGAAACAAATGTGAGGCAACTCAAAGAAAATATTCTCCAAATTTTTATATGTGACAGTATGTGACATTTGAATTGAGAAAATATAAAAATGTATTGAAAACAACAACATTTTCAGAAAAAATGGAAAACATGAATGAAAAGTAAATAGATATGGGTTCATACTATAGTCAGGAGAAAGAGAATTATTTTTTCTATTTAGATCCCTATGTAATTCACTAAAATATGTTACATTTTTGGTGTAAAACAAGAAACAAAAAGTTTGAAATAAAAAAATCTGATGACATGAATTATGAATAGTGTTGTATGAACGGGTTAATTCATGTACGTAATTCTGAGAGCGAACTACGTTGTTCGAATGCCCGTCAGAACATGGCATAACAATTGAGAGAAAATAATATGTATACAATTTTCAAACTTTTTTAGTAAAATTGAAAATGATAAATGAAAAGTAAAAAAAAATTCTAGTTTTTATATATGCAGAAGGATGTAAATATTGTTATGTACATAATGCGATATGAATTTCTTTCCCTTTGGTTGAAATTAGCGTACAAAACAAGAAACAAATGTGGGGAAACCCAAACAAAAATACATATATTTAAAACAACAATATTTAAAAAAAAAAAAAAATGGAAAACATGAATTAAAAGTCATTAGATATGGGTTCATACTATAGTCGTGAGAAACAGAATTATTTTTTTTCTATTTAGATCCATATGTGATTCACACAAATATGTTAGAATTTTGGTGTAAAACAAAAAACAAAATGTTTGAGATAAAGAACTCTGATGACATGAATTAAGAGTAGTGTTGTATGAACGGGTTAATTCATGTACGTAATTCTGAGATGTTATGACAATTACACAAAAGAACAAATTGTAATCGCAGATACAATGTTGTCATTCCTGTTTAGCATTTTCACTCGGACAAATTTTTCGATTAAAAAGTTTACAAGGAGAACGCCATTTTCTTTTGAGTTCTCTTAAATTTGGTTCAATGTGTTGCCAGTTCTGTGGGTTCAGGAACGGGGTTCAAATAAAAAGTTGCAACGGAAGATGCTGCGACGGAAGATGTATTTTACAATATTGAGAATCAGAAATTTATGATTTGTGAATAAATCAATATCTAAATCATATTTTAACGCTATTTTGAATAGAAAACCTGACATTCAGCATGACTTGTTGCATTTGATTTTAATATTTTCAGACATTATAGCCCACAACGTTGGTGTGTATTTTTTCTTTCTTGACAAAATATAGCCTACCTTGTATAATTGTACCATGATTTTCCTGTACATACATACAGATATACGAATTGAGTTATATTGTTATTGTGCAATGGACATTTTGTTATTGTACGAACATATTGTTATTGTACCATGAAACATACAAGCGCCTTCCTTTAATTATTTTTATTTTATTTATGTATCTTTCGATTTTTGTTTTCTTTTTTAAATAAATTTGAACATACAAAAATTTTAACAGTGTATTTAGCTCGATAAATCTAAAATCGACACGAATGAGGTACAAAACAGAACACAAACATGCGAACAAGGCCCAACACGACCCTGTAATTGTTATCGATTCGCTTTTCTCATCTTAGATCCCTACACAATTAGCTCGTTTGTGTATTGTATTTGTTTTCTTTTGGGCGGTAGTGATAGAGTGATGTCGAGCTCAATTATAAATTAACAAGTATTTTACTATTTAAAATAGTTAGAAAAAAAATCAAAATAAACATTTCAGTGCAGTTAAGAGCCTAGTAAGTGACTTACTTAAGGGAAAATGTGTCAATTTCATGAAATGATGAATTGTGAAAAGAGTTATTTGTAATTCGTGTGTTCGTCTAATCGTGGTGGTTTCAGAGCTGAGCCGAGTCGGGAGTAAAGTGGTTTTGTGAATATGTAGTTTGTCTGGTTAGTTAGATGCTGTCGGCGCTGCCGCCTCTGCTGCTACTTTTCCAAGTAATGTTCATACACAGCAGCACATACCAACAAAACAAATGAAATTAATGAAAGTGTTTGAAATTTTGGATTAATCATTTGTTGTTAAATTCCAAATTAATGGCTTAATTATTCGCCGAGGAGATAGATGACTTTGTACTGTATTTTCAGTTTGTCAATTTGTATCCAATCCAGACAGAAATAAAGAAAAACAACGAACCTTCAAAGTGTGTGCTTCATTGTATTAGTGCGCAAGCACAGGAGAAATGCGACTAGTATTTCAATGCAACTACGCCATTATCCATCCATCCATACGTCCATCCCGGATGGAGAAATGTTACAAGATCTGCATTTGTTTCAATGAGTAATGTAAGATATTTGTGATTATGTGTGTTTGTTGAGGAGTACCACCAGAACATAAATGGAATCCAGATAAATATAAAATTAAATTTTGTATTGAATAATCATTTTTCTATTTCATATTTTTTACCCCCATGCAAGATGAACAAATCTTTTATTTCGTTGAAGATACACATCTCCGAACGAGGGAACAAAACGTCCGCTCTCATTTTTGTTGTATTTGTCTCTTACTTCCGAAAGTCAAACAAAATGAAAATAACTACTACAGGTTTTTCGATAAAAGAAAACAAAATTATTTTTTTACGAATTGTGTTAAGCGGCTTGTAATAGAAGTATAATAATATACTTACATATGTATGTACGTACGTGAGTGTATTATATTGCATAGGTGGCCGACAATTTCTTCATATAACGAACGTAGTATTTGTCCAGCATGAAAAACATTTTGAATGTGTACCTAAACAAATTCATATGTAGGAGTTGGGTATATTGGTTAAAATTGTGAAATTCCGAGTGGTCAAATTTAAAAATCGAAATTATTATGTTTCTGCGTTCTGAAGAAAAAATTTTGCCTTAATTTGAGTTTAGAGTTTTATCCCACGAACATATATGACATTCATTGGGGAAGTCCGTACCGAGATATGGACCTCTGAAGCTCCGGAATATTGGAGAAAGTCTTTCATTCTCGGCCAAAGGCTGGCTATCTAAGAACAATGGAACTTTTAATCACGTAGCCAAATTATCCACCTGCCCATAGGAGGAAATTTCTCCAGATACTGTCCAGGTATAAGAGGGAAAATTTTAATTTAAAAAAAATGTTGATGCATTAGCCGAATTTTCCGCCTGTCCATTGAAAAAAGTTTTAAATCACCGGCCGAAGGCCGTCTATTTTGCATAACTTCGTCCCCGGCCGAAGGCAAGCTATATAAGACAAATTTTTACATAAAGGAATTTTTTAATCGCGTAGCCAAATTTTCCACCTATCCATAGGTGAAAGTCTAAAATTCCCGGGCAAAAGCCGGCTATTGAGAAAAAAATTTGTTTAATTTTTTTTCATATATTTTCGTAATCCAAGAGACTGTTAAACTTAAAAAAAAAAATTGAGATGAGCCCCTACCTAAACACAACTTGTTCCACGAATTTGATCAATAATATAAAATAATCGGAACAGTTCCGAAAGGGAACATTTGAAACCATATTACCAGTCCATACGTGAAGAAATATATTTCCAATACTTTGTAAATGTCCTAGATTTTACTAATGGGTGTCATATGAAATGTACCTAAAATCTTTTCATATGATATTCGTACAATAAGACTTCAACCTGTGTGTAGATTTCGGTATAGACTATATTTACGTCTTTTGATGACTGGACTTCGTCGGACATTTAAAGGCCACCACATAATTTCATTATAAAAATTAATGTTATTGTGCGTCAGCGGTGTTCGTATTACTTTCGACATTACCGAAAGTATGTATTTTGCCTGTTTTACAACAGTTGAATATGAACCCCTTGCTTTGCATTGATCCTTAGAAAAAACATGATTTCAATGGATTTCTAATTTCGCTGTTGCCTCTACACCACCATTACATGACTCTGAACTAAAATAAAAATTGGTTTCTGTCTCATTAAAACTTCGAAATACTGGAAAAAAATGCCAGGGTTAGAAAGAGAAGTCAAGAGGGTACAAATGTCGCGAAATAGAATCTGATCCTGATCATAACTTGTTATAAAAAAAATTGTAAAGTATTATTTTTCCTATAGTGTTTAGTATAACATTATTTTCAAATTATTATTTTCAAAAAAGCTCTTTTAGTTAACATTAGATTCACGGACTGAGTCAAATTGACAAGTAGGTATATACTTATATTTAAAACATTAATATTAATTTTTAAAAACTCACATTGGAGTTTAGTTATACCCTGAAATATATATAAAGGTGCATGCATTTGCATTATTATTGAGAGCCAATTTGACTTTTAGATTTTTTTAACCCTGCTACTATTTCAAATTTAAATATGTCTTTTTTAAAACGTTTTTCTAAGGCTTGTGATTATTTCAATATTGCAAAAATGCATGCAATGAGTAGTTAGGACGTTTAATATATTCCAACAGAACGAAATACTGTGACCATAAAACGTTATGACTGCATTTCCAGATGTGTTCCGGATTTAGCTTTCTTCATAAAAAAATCCTTACATTTTCTGATATGAGTCAAGTTGGCTTAACTTTAGTAGAAGTAGGTATAAACTCGACGTCCGTAATTCTAGTATTATTATTAATAAAAAAAAAATCATTTCCAATTAAAAACGAAATTCAACAATTCCCTGCGATAAATAATATTTCTGTATTATTCTTTATTCGTAAATGTTAATCGGTAAAAACTCTCTAGAATACACAAAGGAATTATATTAATGGGAATAAGGACACATTTGTCTATTGTTTTATATTTGAAATATTACATTTGAAACATGTGGCGGGACGGACAAACGAAAATTGTCCGATGTGTCAATAGTTTGTAATGACCGGTATTCCCTATCCTACACAACACGTTAATTTAGTTTGTAGGAATACACACTCTGTGCAACACATGCTCGACCTCAATGGGTTTCGAAAAATTACACAAAAGGAAAACAATAGCAATAACAAAAGTAGTCGGGATGAACGCAATATTGGAGTCAAGGCATATTGTGATAGACATCAAGAGAGAAAATCAGTGATGTTGTGTTGGTGTCATATTGTTACTTTTTCGTAGCTCAATCTGTTGTTCAGACAAGGTCCGTCGTTGAATATTGCTGCTTTACAATTTCCTTTTACCAACAAACATCATGTTACAACGACGTTGTGTCTATCTAAACTGTTTGTCTAACGTAACTTCTTCCTAGTGCAAATGGCTGTGTGCGTGTGTGCGCGACGTACAACATAATAAGTGAATTGGCATAGCATTTAACAACCAATTTCCTCGCGTATCCTTTTTCCTTTTTTACATTATCTGACATGTCACACATAAACAACTCGATACCCATCCGTTCTCATAACCCATCGTTCTCTTTTGCTCTCTTTGTCCGAATTTGAGATTCTGCTCTCTCGTCACCGAGCTGTGCTCTTTCATCCAACAACCGACAACAACTTACTGCTGCTGTCAGTCATGCTCAAAGGAAGTATTTTTTGTCGTTGCAAGTGGACTGTTCGAGGACAGAATAAGGCAAGGAACATCTTTTTCTGTATGTGTATAATTTTTTTTTATCAGAAATGATGTTTCATTCGATTTCTACAATGAAATTTATTCAGAACTGTTGAATGTTTTTTTTATTATTTTGTTGTTTTTGGAAAATTCCCAAAACTGAACAATTGCAAATAATAATCTCAATATTAATAATACTAATAACAGCGAAGTAAGTTTAATATGGCTTCAGTGCTGCATTCATTTTATTGTGTGTCGTGTGTGGTATGTGAAGAAATTGTTCGTTTTGTGAGTGTTCTTTACTACATCAAGGGTGCAAACTCGTCTGGATGGCTGGATACAAATGTCACATTCACATTTTGCCTGCAAAACTGTTTTTTTCTTCGGTTAATTTATCCCACACAGTTTTGTGTGGTACATACATATTTTAGTAGAGCCTTACGACATTACTTGGAAATAATTAAAACAAAAAACAATTGCTTATTTGACTGCAGTGGTTTGTTCAACCATCGACGTTAGAAAAAATCTTTTAGTGTTTTATTAACACACCCGCACCCGTGTATTTTATGATTTGAACTATGAATGTATCGGTTGAGTATTTTCCGAACACATATACATACAACAAACCGGCCGTCGGTCTTCCGTGAAAAAAAAACGTAATGTTATTAAATGAATATTGTACACAATTTGTCGTTTAGGGTCAGTTGAAAAACTTTGTCCACTTGCCCACTTGCCACTAAGTAGTACCCATCTCGACCGCGATAATTGCAGCGTAATTATGTCAATGTAAATTAATTATGTGTGTTTGTTTTGTTTTTGCAATGCTTGCTTGCAGATAAAAGATGAAAACGTTCAATATATCGGTCATCGGTCTCTCGGGGACTGAGAAGGACCGAGGACAAGTTGGTGTTGGCAAATCGTGTTTATGTAACAGATTTATTAGGCCCATGGCCGACGATTATTTCATTGATCACATATCAGTTTTGAGTCAGGTATGTATGGAGAAGATGTTGTTTAATTTAGGGTGTGATTGATGTGTTCTTTATTTTAGAGCGATTTCAGCGGGAGAGTTGTTAACAATGATCACTTTCTTTATTGGGGAGATGTGCTCAAGACGACCGATGAAGGCTCCGAATACTCCTTTCATATTGTCGAACAGACGGAATTTATGGACGACTCCACATTCCAGCCCTTCAAGGTGGGTAAAATGGAGACCTACTTGAAGAGGTGCACCAGCACAAAAGTATTTTCGGCCGAAAAACTTATGTACATCTGCAAAAATCAATTGGGAATAGAAAAGGAATATGAGCAGAAAATAATGCCTGATGGTAGGCTGGCAATCGATGGTTTTGTTGTGGTGTTTGATGTGAGCCCTGTGCCAAATAGAAATATCGAAAAACAGGTTGAATTTGTACAAAATGCAATTACTTTAATACTGAAAAACAAAAAGCCGTTGGTGCTCGTGACCACCAAAAATGATGATTCCTGTGATCTGTATGTGCGGGAGGCGGAAAAAATTTGCCAACGCAAGGAGTACAAGGGCATGATACAAATGGTGGAGACATCGGCCCACGAATCAATAAATACAGATTTGCCATTCCTTCTGCTGGCCCAAATGATCGACAAAGTGAAAAATCGCATAAAAATCATACCATATCAAGAAGCTGCAAGATCGCGCAAGGAACTTTTGGAAAGTCGTTCTGAAGCAGTTACTCGTCTCATACGCAATCAAATAACGGATTATCATGTGTTATGGACACATGGCTCAAAAATGCTTGCTCAATTCCGCGAATGGACAGAATTCTTGAATATTTTTGGTCATGATGCCGGGCAGAAACTATTCCGGAGACACATGAAAAAGTTGCGTGATGACTACATGAACCAGCGCCTACATCAGTATTTGGATAAGTTTGCCCGCACTCTTGAGTACATGTTGCCGGACATTAATGCCCTTTCCACGAGCGACGATGATATTTGGGAATGTGCCAAGAGCTATATGAGAAATCATGTGGAATTTGATCAGTACTTTTTTGAGTGCCCGCAGGCTTCGTGGCAGGAATTGGTAGACATGGATGAAACCGAAGATGAAGTTCGCATACCTTTCGATATTTTAGAAACATCAGAGGCCGAGACAGTATTTCGTAATTTTCTAAACTCTGTTCAACAGGACAAGAAGAAAATTGGGTATGTATTATAGTTCGTCGTTATAATGTAGTATTTTATTCAATGACTTCAAACCGTTTTTTAGATGGAAACAACAGTTTAAAATGCTATTGGAAGAATCTGGATTCGTTACTCCGGGCAAACAACTATCTGAAGTTCGTGTTCTCTTTATGGGGCGCGAATGTTTTGAAGCCTTGTCTGAACACGACTGTCAGCAAATTTATGATATACACCAGGACGAAATCATTGAAAAGAGCAAGCAAAATTTCATTGAACTTCTTCTGGAACATGCCCAGTTTTTTCAACAATTCAAAAACGTTGATATTATAACACAAGAGGATGTCCGGCAAATTACTGATATCCTACAGGATGACTCCAGGTATTGCATTGAGAAAATTTTCAGAAACCTCTAAATCTCATTGTTATTTCTCTGTCTAATATTAAATCAGGTATAAAATAATGGATCGGCTAGATCAGGAGAGGCGAGTTATTCTATTCCAGCATTTAGGATTTATGCACTGTCCCATACGTGATCATTGCCCATTTTATCACAGTTGCGTTGACAACTTCATTGAAGAGATTTTGGCCGACAAGTCCGGTGGTAGCCATAAAACACTTGGCAGTGGTGGAAGTGGCAGTTGGAAATCTCAGGGATCTGATAAAACACTGAATTTGTTAATTGTGGGATCCGAGCACTTGGCTAGCGATTTACTCAACGACATACGCATGTGCACCGGTTCCAAAGGGGAATATATCTACGAAAATCAAACATATTATCTAAATTATCGCATAGCGAATGGTGATATGGAAGCATTTAAGGCCATTGATGTTTATTCCAGTGGTAAATAATTGTGAACTGTTTGAAGAAGAAGTGAAACTTATATCCTTATAAATGTTAATATTTTTGTAGGTTTGATCTGTGTATACTCAAATCTGCAGTCTTTTGAAACTCTTAAAGACAACCTAGAGCGCACTCTACTCTGCAATTTGGAACTGGAAGACAAATTTGAAAATCTTCCTATTGTGTTGGTGTACCAGCCACACGACTTGAAAGAAAACGAAGTTGAGTACTTACGCAACGAAGGTTTGCGTTTGGCTGAAATGCTTCACTGTGATTTTATTGACCACCAACAAAGCCATCAGAAATATGTCTATGAAATTTTGAATATTGTCATCGATTCCCTACGAGTAGCCGAAATGAAAACACTTGAGACATTTCCACCGAATCAAACAGATCTTCGTATATTGGTGTGCATGTTTTGTGGCGATCAGTATGATATTGAAAACATCATCAATCCATTGATTGATGAATCAACATTCTGCAAGGCACTTGAACATTCCGTGGTGGTGGACGTTTTCATTGGAGACTCCAAGAAAAGGGTTGAATTTATACTATCATCATACCATGGAATAAATCAATATCGCGATGAATTGATACATGGATTCATATTTGTATATTCCACAAAGAGACGTTCATCATTGGCTAATCTAAGGTAAGCGTTTCATGAACATTGAAGTTTAGGCGAATAATTTCATAATTGTTGTTGTACTTTTTCAGCGTTCTGGTTTCGCAAAATGCAAATATACCGTTGCAAATTATAGCTATAACGGAAAGCGGTGGTGCAAATGCATTTTTCAGCAGTGAACTATGTCAATTTCTCATCACAGAAGGGAACGCTTTGGCTGATCGTTATAAGGCCAGTTTTATGACATTTTCTGCCGATCAGTATGTAAAATGTATGTATTTAACACAATATTTGTAGATCATTTTTTTATTCGTGCTTTTTCTGTCTGCAGTTGCTTTTTATAGTCCATTTTTGAAGAATGCTTGGGATAACAAGTATGACGTAGAAAATCTACACGTTGAAGAGTCAATTACTTTGGATTCAGGTGAGGGAACACTTGAAAATTCCGTCAAGTTGCCACGACCCCCACCGCGTCACGAAAGCTATATGCTATCAAGTACCCTAGGTACTGATGGTTCCGGCAGTGAAAATTACGAAATGCTTCCTACACGTTCTCTAAACTCATTAAATGGTATGTCCTTGTCTACAAAAGTATGATTTTTGTTACATAGGTCGTTGTCATTTCAGAAGAAAGAGACATATCTTTAGATGAAATCTATGAAGAAAGCAACGAAAAACCAAAAATGATCCATCAGAGTAAGTGCATGAATACTAACCATTTCATAAGAATTCAGATCTTTATAGTATTTCCTTCATAATAATGATTTGTTTAAGATTTATCTCAGATCTAAACTTGTTGCCATTTATTAGACTATTACTATTTATTGTAATATAATTTTGTCCTAACATACATATAAAGAATTACCATGATTTGTGTATACCGTATACACATATTAAGAGCACTAATTTTTTTGGGGTTAATTTAACTATATGTTCACAACGTCTCTCATATCTTGATATTGTTACTTCAAAATATATGTCTATCAAAAGATAAATAAACTCTTATGAAATTAAGGACATTTAAATTGTGTAAAAGAGACATTAATATGTATTTTTAATACAACATGAGGACTATTATAGCGAACAATCAGCAGCAAATGAACGAATTTGTACTGCAAGAAAACAAAAACTGCGAAGACCTGTACAAATATTAACATAAAGTAATTTTATGTATCATGGGAGGTATTGTGAATATATATTTATAGAATTAGATTCAAGAAGCATAAACGAATCGGTCGGTAATTAACAAATTTTGAATTTTTTGAATATTACATTTATTGTATTCTTATGAAATGGTTATATATACATACTTCGTATTTATACAAATAGTTTATGTAAGTATTTTTTAATACTCCAAAAAGTATGAGATTTTTTTTATTCGCAAACCCTTCATCCAGAATGTTGGGTCTTTGACTTATTCTACTGTGTATTTCCTTACTTTATTTTTTACTATAAATATAATTATTAGTTTATACACGCACACTATCTCATATATAGCTAGTCCAAAAACAATAATATATGATATGATATTCAGGCAGTTTATATATTCATTTTACTAATGTATGATTATCATAAAGGATTCCAGATATTTCCACCTCCAACAACTCCTCCAGAGCCAGCTCCTCCAGATCATCAGCTCATTACATGCTCATATAAGAGTCAATTTGTGTCAGCTTCCGAGTCTAGTTTGGAAGAAATAACATGTAATAACTCGTTATCATTCAATCAAATTGATTTTTAGCAAAATTTGTCACATTATTTAATTTGTTCATTTCTTTGTTCATTTCTATTTTTCAAACTGAATAATTTTTTTCATAAGCAGCGGATGTAAGCGGGTCAAAGGATTCATTGGCAACCCACGATGCAGGTTACTAATTGTGATTTTTAGAATATTTTCAATGCCATTATAACCCTTAATTTTGTTTGTGTTTACATTCTCTTGAGTTGAGTCCCACCTATCGCACGTTTCATAAACTACCCATATCCCCAATGAAAAAGTTTTTTTTCTTTTTCTTTTGTTTATTTATTATAATTTTATGTAATGCACCTTATTTCAAATAGCACTAGATCCTCAAAATTTTGCAAAAGTATTGCTTTAAATAATCGAACCGACATTCGAAAGAATATAGATTTTTTAAGTAGCGGCGCTGAATATTATTTGCTATATTTTAACTAAAATCAACCCATAAATCAATTATTTAGAATGCAACAGTATAAATAAATTATATAAAGAATCCTCGTATTTTAATTCCTGCTTCAACTAATGTAAAAAAAAAACAAAATATTCATGTAGTAAGAATTTGATACTTTTTATTTAAATTGCATATTAATATGTTCCGGTTTGTGTTTAACTCTATTGAAAAAATGATAATTTTCTATAAAAGCAGTTAAATATTTAGCTGTTGTTTTACTTAGAGGCCATTGGTTCGATATAGAAGGGAAGGAAGCGATGGGGACAAAGAATGAATTAAGTGTTAGAGCTTATTATAATGATAAATTTTTGGCAAAGCTACGAAGCATTTGCCATCTACATTGCATAGTAGATGTTCGAATGTTTCCAACACTTCTTTATCCTCACATGAGCGCAAAAGTTCACTCCATTCACATTCCATGTAGAGGTGAGATGCCAGAGACCTGATCCATATCGCAAGTTTGATCTATTTTTTCGCTAGTGATAACACTCTGGTAGATCTTCGTCAGATAGATTGACCTTTGTACTAGATGTAGAAATTCTTTCAATTAAAAATACTCTAATTTTTTTACCCGGATAGTTTCTGGTGAACTACGGAAGGAACATGATTTTTAGGTATGTTAGGTTAGGTTTACACTACCCCTGTAAGTTGCCTGTTGTGCGCTTTAGAGAAGGAAGAGATTTAAGAGAAGTCATCATTGGATTTGATTGTTCTGAACTTTTAGGAATCCTGTTTTTTTTTGTTTTACTACTTTGATAAGAAAAGAAGATCGCCAGAATTTATAACAAGAAAGCGAAACTAAATGAGGAATGAGGACCTTAGATTTATAATCACATAGGCCATTGCAGAATCATGTGTATTTTATCAATATGGGAATGAAACGAGGTGGAATACTATGCAAGGATGAAGATGTGTCGGAAACGACTCTGTTGATTCCGCATGCTTCAAAACAGATGCCACCAAAGGTTTGACCCCTGGTTAGGTTAGAGGATGCGCGTCTGCTGAAAGCAGAACGCTTTACTCGGAGAATATTTGTCCATCGTATTCATCCTAAAAAGAGAAGTTAAGAAAGAGTGAAAGTAAGGAGTTAAAAATAAGTTTAATCACTAACCCAAGACAATTTCTTGGCAAAATTAAAAAAAAAATGGTAACAGCGTCTATATCGGAGAAGTAGGTCAGTGAGGGGTAGAAGTAGATGAAGGGTAGTCCATGTAAAGAAGATATTGGAATCGCTCATGGATTTTTGGCTAGGTTCTCGTTTATGAAATAAATTGAATTGAAGATTTATGATAGCATTCAAGGCTGACTGTGTGCTTCTAGAGGCGCAAAAAATTAGGACAGCTGCGGATCTTTGTACACTTTTTAATTTGAACAGATAGGTTGTTTTTCCATGTGCCTGACACCAGGCAAGACAGTTATTGGTAAGTATGTGGAGAAACATTATATATAGAGTTCTTGCAGGAGAAGTGTGCATTCCTTTTCCACGTTAATTGGTAGTCAAGTATAGTTCCAAGAGAGAGAGAACTACAGAGCTACACGATGCAGTACTGACAGCAAGAATTCTTGAATCTTCCGCTTCTTCGTGACCAGAACTAATTCTACCTTCGCAGGGTTAACTCCAAGGTCATTTTCTCGTACCCACTTTGAATGTAATTTTAGTCTAACTTGCATGATATCAGATATCGTGAACAAACATTTGCCACTTACCAGCACAACAACGTCATCAGCATAGGCCACAACCCTTACTCGAAGTCGGTTAAATTCCACAAGAATTCCATTTACCACCAGGAGCCAAAACCTGCGGTGGGGTACACCTCACCTTCCGTATGGAACCTTCCCCAATGCTTGCATTGATTATTCTGCTTTTCAGCATTTCATCAATCATGCTTAAAGGAAATTCATGTCTTGTCTAGAGCAAAGCGGATTTATTCCAATTTGACGTAGTTAAAAGAAAATCTTACGCTAGTAGCAGCTTCTTAATTTCCACTCTATATAAACAACCATGTCGTGTAGGGCAGTATCGACCGATTTGCCCTTGACGTATGTATGTTGTGATGCGCTAAATGTTGTCAAGTCTAGTGAGTTCCTAATGTCTAAGTCTAGTAACCTTTACATTGCCTTCAATAGGAAGGAAAATAGGCTAATCGTCCTATAGTCAGTAAGCATAGTGTGAGTTGGCTTTCCCGCTTTTGGAATAAAAACCTTTGGAATAAAAACCATACATCTCCGAATGGAGCGACTGTTTAATGGCAGTCGGACATCCTCTAACTTTACCCAATTTTGATTCATTAATTTATAATAGAAACCAGCTTAACCTTGTAGTTTGAAAGGATTTGTTTTGGACGTAATGGAAAGGTGCATTTTTATAATTAGCACATAAATTTGAAGGTATATATTTGGTTTATGAATGTTTTGTAACCTCGTATCCCTTTATCATATAACTATAAATTCGTCGTTGTAAATTGTTAGCTAGCAAGATCTACAAAAAAGTGTGTCCACCATGCAAGAATAAAATTGATTCAATTCTGTAGTTTATTGATTAAATGATTTCCACCACCTCTCTCACTATTTTTGCGTTCGACATACAATCAATTGTTTAATACAAACTTTTCTTTTAGATCTAAAAAAACACCCATAAAATGTACTGAACTCAATAGAAATTATGAAAAATATTTCACAAGTAATTTTAAAATCAAAATGCCAGAGTTGTAAAAATAAAATATGAGATTTATTTAAAACAGTGCTGAATTTAATATAATGTCAAGTTGCATTACATCGCTCATATATTCATTTAATTTGCTAACTAATTTTCAAATATCCCTTAATAGACATTTTTATTATTTTGGATATGTATACTTTTTGCAATATTTATTTGTAAAAAATTTTGCTAAAAATTTCAAAAAAAAAAAAAAAAAAAAATAGATTAGACGAGCGAGAGTTGTGCATGCAGTGTGTAATAGCATCAGTGAATCTTCAAATCCAAGCATTTGTTCTTTATTATTTCTTAAAAAAATTAAAATATAATTATTTTTTGTTTGTACATAAATTGTTCGTTCTGGATGTAGGGTAGTTTTACATTGGAATGACAACTATAATTGTTTTTATACCTCTTTATGTGTCCATGTGTCTGGTAATAAGAATTCTATTAAATATTGTGTTTTTTTTTTTGATTTTAGAATGGTTGGATGAAAAATCAGATGCGCGGCGCAATGCCAATAAAAATTCAATTTGGAATAATTTTGGTGGCTCAACCCACGCATACACAACTGGTCGTAGACACATAGATTCTAATTTGAATAAAATTCGTCCAAAAGGTCCAAGTCAGACCCTAAAGGTAGTACCTAAAATTCATACTAATTATGATTGTTGTGATGTAACAGGATAACATTTTTTTATATTTTCAGCAACCAGGAAAATTAAATATGAAAAATTTTCAATTAGTTAGTGATGCAGTAGCTAAAATGAATTTTGGAGGAAACACTTATTTGCCAATTTGTGAGAGTGGAGATAAGGACGGTAAACGTTATACCCAATTTGATTATTCCCACTTGGATGGTGACGAAGAAGACTCCGAAGAATTGGCTGAGTATGAACAAATTTATGAAAATGAAGGTAGGGATAGTCGAGAAGTTTATAGAATATACATATAATAATTGACTTTTTCACTATTTATAGACTGTACTGAATCTGATAGTTGTGCTAGTTCTATAGAACGAAAAAATCGGCAACAAAATGCCTACTATAAACAAATAAACAAGAAACCACCCGTCAATAAAAAGACAAAAAAGAAGAAAGTTGCTATACCGGTACAAACTCCGCGCGTACCCACAATGTTTGGCTCATACGTAAGCCCACCAGAAATACCATTACATTACCAGAGAATGGTTACTGCCGAGAAAAGTAAGCCACAAGAGCGAATGTCAAGTTCTAAAAAATATAATAAAATGTGTATTCTTTCAGAAAAAAATAGCGACCCTTCTTTAGTTAATGATATGATAAAAACCGATAAATCTCCTGAGGTAAGTGTTTCGTATTATGGCATTGAAAATTCATATAAAATTAAAAATTATTTTACAGTACACAATGGTGCCAGATAATCCTGGCCTTTTCGGTGCTCCAGAAAATCTTAATGAATACAATATGAATGCTAAATGTTTAAAGGAATTTGAAAAGTCCGAAAAACGTCGACTTAAAGAGGAAAGTACAAGACTGCGAAAATTGCAGGAGAAGGAAAAGGAACAAGAGAAGAAACTTAAACGTAAATTAAAACAAAACTCCAAGGGTTTCCCCGACACAGAATCTCAATTTGAAAAACTTATGATCTCGGACAAGGTGGAAATTCCTATATTTTTAATCAAGTGTATAGAATATATAGAAAAAGAAGGTTTGGATTCAGAGGGCATATATCGAGTACCCGGAAGTCGTGCTCATGTGGATTTATTGTTCCAGAAGTTTGAAGAAGGTATGATAAGTGAACGTCTCAAAGTGATAGTAATTTAAAATATTATTTATTTTATTTGTGTTTTACACAGACTCAAATACTGTTATCGAACTTTTGGATATTCCCGTCAATGCTGTTGCAACAGCTCTCAAGGACTTTTTCTCAAAAAGATTACCGCCACTGTTTAGCAAGGACATAATCAAGGAATTGGAAGAAGTGGCAGGTATGTGTTTGAATTTGAAAACGGTTATAATAAAAAAACCTATGTAAGACATTAAAAGCAAAGTAGTGCATATTATAGACATGCAAAATTATTCAGAATTGAAAAAAAAAACATCATTTCTATAACATATTATTGCGCATCACTACATTGGATATCTAGAATCGAAATATCAGCATAATTTTACGGTATATTCAGATCAAATTTCGGGCCATTTTATTCAAAACAACTACTAATATATTTAAATGAAGTTCGAAGTATATGGGTACAATTTTTGCAAATTCTACAATTAAGCATCAAATTTTTGAAAACTACAATTAATTGATCTAATCAATGCAGGGCCAAACTTAATAAAAGTACAGATCAGTGATCTGTAACAAGCCGCAAAGTAAGCCACTTGGGTAATTAATTATAATCGGATAATAAAGAGGCTATTCATCTGAATAACATGGTTCCTTTTTTTTTTCGTGTCATAAAAAAAGTACTTGAGTGTCTATGATTACGAGTGCTCTGTTTATTAGTGACAATACAATACCAAAATAAAAGCGTATTCCATACATGACAATAGCCATGGTATAATTATACAAGGTTGAACATCTTTTGTCGAGTTGAGAATATTATTTAGATATTGATTCACCTACAAATCATACATTTCTTCTTACCAATGCTGTAAAATTCATCTTTAAACAAATGGATTTTAAAATAAAAAAACTCAACCAAAATATCACATTTTGTATATGACTTTGCATAACAACCCCGCTAACAATTTGTTCCGAGTTTTTTTTTTCTGAATTCGTAATGAAGTTCTGCACAAGTTTCCGATTCTGATGCCGAATTTGTACCGAAATCGGAACAAAATTGTTTGAAGGTGTCCACGAATTCGGAATGTTTTGTCGAAAAAGAAATCGGAGGGAACATTCGAGTTTTCTTACAAATTCTAAACGAATTCGTAGACTTCGGGAGAAAAAGGGAAATTTTCGATTGTCTGCACAATTCTGGACAAAACTCTAAAGAAGCCTTTCAAAATGGCTTGGATATACGAATATCGAATATCTTTAAAAATTCTGGCGATTTTTAAGAAATCCTGATATTAACCGAATTGAATTGAATCGAAACTTTGAAAAAAAAACCAACATATTTTCCACCACATATAAACATATACAGCCTTATTCTGGATATTTGCTAGGAAGATATCTCGCATGTAAAAAATTTTCGTTTTCACATTCTCGCCTTATTCTGAATGAATAGGGAGATGCAAAAAATGCGAGATGCGGATTCGAGTTTTCGAAAATGGTGGTTGAGAAAAAGATTCGTGTTGCCATATCGTAAATGAAGTTGCAATGTGTGTGGCCATATTGTAATTTAAGTTGCAATGTGTGTTGCCCCATTGTAATTTAATTGTGTAACATTTTTCAATATATTATTTATTGATTTTTGTTATTAAAAATTGTTACTTTTTATTGTTATTTAAACTATATAGCAATACAAACGTGAAATATCAAGAATTGTAATTAAAAGAAAATAAATTAAAGTTTGATAATATGGCAACCTACAATATGGCATGTGAAACAGCTGTTCATTGTTTTGATGCAATTTGTTGCATCAACTACAATAGATTACAAATAAAAGAACATTTTTTTATGATGGCAAAAACACAACGAATAATAGGAAGAAATCTGCGATTTAATTAATTAATTCACAGTTTATTATTTCACTACATAATTGTGTGCCTTTTTATTTAATTCCGATGTTTTATCTAAAGTGGCCTGTTATGTTATGATTTGCTTTTGAAAAAAAAAATTTTTTGTTCTTTCATAATTTTTAAAATTTTTTTCTTGAGAGACAGATCCTCGCCCAAAATGTCTGTATTTCGCCTCCAAAAATCGAACTCGACTTAAATATTCCTTATTACCTTCATACATTTCTTTGCAATACTTGTTTCAGCATGCATCGTTATCAATTGGATTTCCAATGGCATTTTATTGGTTGTTTTCCAGTTAAAAATTTGCTTACTATCATTTATAATATTCTAAATCGTCATAGAATAAGTATTGTGTAAATATTTTTCATAAAAATAGTTATTACTTATGTTTCACAGGAAAATGTTGTTCAGAATAAGGCGAAGGGGAAGAGCGAGTAAATTCACGTGGAATTGACATACAGAATAAGGCTGATAATTTTTACATAATTTATTAATTTATTTTCTATAAATATACATAAACATTTATTTTAATATATTTATACATATATAAATCATCCCATTAGCGACATTTGGACAATACAGATGGGGACTTCCATTTCATTTTCACCATTGACAAACCGAATTAATTTGCTTCCATAAATTGCTTTTTCAATTTATTCATTCTCATTGTAGTACCACGTAACATTCACATATTTTTAATTTATTTTTTATTTCTTGCAACAAATAAACAGAAGCCAAAAAAATCAAAGCAGTATAAATAGGTATACACACATTTATTTCGTTTTTCCCAAAAATTTCCTTTTAGAGAATGTGCAGATTATTCGGCAAGTAATCGGAAAAAGGGTAGAGAATGTCGAAAATAATGAGTTAACCTGCTGTTGAAATTTCTTTTTTTTTGTTTTTGTTTTTGTAAACAAAGTTTTTGTAAGCAAAGGAAAGAAATCTGATATCCGAGTTCTCGGCAAAAATTGATAACTGGGAAGCACAATATGAAAAAAATTTAATTTATATGATGCTATAGCCTACCTTGAATTATTGTACTATGGCAACAACAGCTGATTAATAATATTTTTATTATAACAGCCCTACCTAAAATTCAACTAGCTCGTTCCATGGTATAATTATTACAAGAGGTAGGGCACAGCTACCAATTGATTACAATTTTTTCTCAAGAGCCTTACCTAAAATTCAACTAGCTCGTTGAAATAATACGAAATACGTCGAATGTACAAATTTTCAAGTTGAAAAATTTCAACTTTGACAGAACGTATTTTTCATTTTTTTGTTTTCTTGAAAATAAAAACAAAACATTCAGGAAATTTGAAATTTCGAATGGAAACTAAAAATATGTGGATTAATTTAATAAATTTTCAATTTTGTTTTGCGGTTTGTATGATTTGTTTAAAGATATGGATTCGACGTATTTGGGTAATACGGCCGTACACAACATTTTGCCATAGTGGGGAAGTTGAATATTTTTGTACGCCCCGTCGGATTTTATGTAACGTTGCAAGGTGGCTTGTTCCATCAAATTAAAATACATATTTTGTGTATGTGTGTGTATTGTTTTGAATACAATGTCAAATAAATTCAAAATAAATTGGAATATATTCAAATTTGATACATCAAGGTAGATATATAAGGAAGCCGCATCGGCGAATCGAGAACATGATATGTCAAAATTTTTATCAAGGCGAATAAAAATGAATTCGCCTTCTATTTTTCAACCAATCAGAACATAACATTTGTGAAGTTTTATAAAATATTTATTTACTTTTTTAAATTTGTTTGATTTTTTGCAAATCGAAAGTTTATGAATTAAATATATCATAAAAGATAAAAATGATTCATTAATGTTAAGGAACTGATGACAACGAATACATTTTTGGAGAAAGGAAGACGTGGACTCATTTTGAATATGTTTTCTGTGGTAGTAATACCTCAGCATACCAAACTCAACAAATATGTGGAAATCTAAGGTTCGAAATTACAACCAAATTATTCATTCAAAAAGAAAACAAAATGCCAAATTGAAGAAACTGAATTCTAACAATGTTTAACAATAAAATTCGAGAATGCAGTTCTGGTTTCCTTGATCAATATCCTTATCAGATGTGTTTTCTATTTTGAAGGTCTCAATCGAAGATTAAGGCTTCGCCTTTTGATTATTGATAACGTTTATTATACGGTATATAAAGAGGAGATTTTTACGTGAAATACGCCATCAAATCGTTATAGAAAGTCCCATGATAATAGATTCTTATACAAATCTTCCTAAAGAAGTTCATGTGAAGGTATCCTATTCATGACCTATATGTTTTGTTTCTTCAGAAATTGTCTTATTCAATTTTCATTTTTAATTTTATTTATTTTTTTCGGCGAATTCAAGAAAAACAAATTGTTGTGACATATAATATTACCACCAGCTGGCCTGATACGGTTACCTTATTAATATACCTTTCCGTATATACATCATGCCGTACAGCATTTATCATAGTATGTGTTATTTTTTGAAAGTTTGTTTATGTATGTGTGACACACACAATGCATGAAGAAAATCAAAATAGTTTTGATTTTGAAAATGAAACCTTATCAATCTGGTTAATGCCATGTTCTGACGGGCATTCGAACAACGTAGTTCGCTCTCAGAATTACGTACATGAATTAACCCGTTCATACAACACTATTCTTAATTCATGTCATCAGAGTATTTTTTTTCAAACTTTTTGTTTCTAGTTTTTCACCAAAATTGTAACATATTTGCGTGAATCATATATGGATCTAAATAGAAAAAATAATTCTCTTTCTCCTGACTATAGTATGAACCGATATCTATTTACTTTTAATTCATGTTTTCCATTTTTTCTGAAAGTATTGTTGTTTTGAGTATATTTTCATTTTTTCTCAATTCAAATGTCACATAAAAAAATTGGAGAATTTTTTGTTTGGTTTTCCCCACATTGGTTTCTCGTTTTGCTCGCTAATTAGAACCAAAGGGAAAGAAATACATATTGCATTATGTAGATTACAAAATTTACTTCCTTCTGCATATATAAAAACTAGAATTTTTTTTACTTTTCATTCATCATTTTCAATTTTACTGAAAAAGTTTGAAAATTTTACAAATATTTTCATGCTGTTTAAATTAATTTATTTTCGATAAATTCTCTCAATTGTTAGGGATGGGACAAATTTCTTGGTTATTCGGAGAGAGATTCAAATTGAACAACGTACAAAAGTCGGTGTTCGCTCAGACAATTTTGTATGGGGAACTAAGTAATTAATTCATAATTAAGGGTCG